AATATTAACTCTGAGTCAAAATGTTTTATTCTCAGGCAAAGACCTGAGTCTGCGAAAAGGATCCTAATTTTCACCAAATTGGATTATTCTAAAAATTCATTGGCATGAGAAACATTATTTTGGATACATTATAGGTTTAAGAAATCTTGAAGACAAAAGATTTTCTAGTACTTTATATATTTTAAGTTAAGAACATATTCTATAGTTAGTAAGTGTACTCTAGTCTAAATTCATACCACTCCTAGGAAGGCGGACTATGTAAATACGATACAATTCCTTTTGTTAATAAAGACATTGAAGACGATATTTTCAGCGTGTTTTTTACTTGCTGTACCAGGAGTTTTCTCAGAAATCGCTCAACGGAACTTGTACTTCCCTTTGTTGGCTCGATTATGGCAAAGTTTGAACAAATTCTATGCACTAATACCGATTGGCTTGGATTTTTCGTGAATATAGTTGTTTGAAGAAGGTAGGCAGAAGTCCTCTTCGTATCCTGGGTCAGTATTGCTTTGAACGAATGATGTACTATAGAGTGTTTTCACATGACGTCACGGCGACCATATTGGTGTTCCAAAACAATGAGGCGGCGGCCATGTTGGTGTCCCAAACCAATTCTCAGTGAATTCTGTGGGAGTTGAACTCGTTTGTTATGCAAACGCTTCCTTTTGTTCCAATAAATTTGCATAGGTGCTGGCCACGTGAGTGAAAACACTCTATACGCTCTAGAGTACCTTTTCTGTCCTTATGCCCCGAAATGTAATTAATATCAACGCAAAATGTTATATCATCGACGGATAACCGTACTAACGACTCAACGCATAATACAATATAGTTTCAACGCGAAATGTAATATCTCTTCTTACGCGCATATTGTAATAACTGGAAATACAAGTTGTACAAGAGGTCAAAGTACTAAATCCTAATAACCCAAAGTACAGTTGTAAGAGTAGTGAAAGTACTAAATCAGAGGTGTAGAGAAAACATTGAACAGGGTTATAATTCACTCTATTTCACAACAGACACAACAAAACCTATACCCTCAAAGTGAAGGTATTCTCTTATTTTAAAACAAATAAAAGTGATTCAGCTTTTATTCACACTTGATGTAATTCAAGATGCCGCCGACAAGATACACTAAAAAAAGAGAGGCTGAATGGGGGTACCTCGATAATACTAATTTTTTTGGCTCCGTAACCTTCGAGTAACCTGAAACAGTTAAATTTTAGGCATTTCAACACCAACAGTAAAAAATTCACTGTAACATTCAATTTTTTCCACGACGAAAAAAAAGAAGGCAAAAAATCCAAATTATTTTGTTTAGTATATCAGGGAATTTAGGCCATTTTCCGACAATTCCCGACTATTTCCGAAGACTGGAGACGACTTCTGAGGAGACACCCGAAAATTTTCCACTTTATTGTCGTCGTTATATTCATATCTGAACGACATATATTTGCAGTGATCAGATGCGAGTTTTTCACGAAAAACCCTCCAAACACTTAACAGTATTTTCTCTTGAAAGAGTAAACATGAAAAAATTTACCAATTTAACAGCAAAGAAAATTTAAAAATTTTAGGTAAATAACACTAAACACTAAACCCCATTCAGACCCTCAAAAAATGATTAACGTTTTTGAAAACAGGAAAACCAGAAGATCAGGAACCAAAAATGAAGAGCAATAATGTAATCTTCTCTACTAGATCAGCGTTATATGCTCTCTTCTTTTCTCCTTATTATTTCTTTCATCATCAACCTTCTGCAAAAAAAAAAAAAAAAATGAAAAATTTGTAAATTTCGGCGTGGAGGAACGGATAAAGGGAGTGGGGATGGGGAGAGAAGGAAAGGGACTCCTCTTGTCATTCTTCTATCACGAAATTGCCCTAACCCTTTCCTCCCCACTTTTGTGCCTGCCACTGACTCAGGCTAAGGAGCTGAATATGTCGTGTGATACCATCGTACAACATTTTCTTAAATTATTTTTATACAGCATATTAATACGTGACTGTTCAAAACATATCGATAAAACATATTTACAACAAAGCAAAGCATTGAAGGTGCACTGTGTTAATAAGTTTGTACATGGTTTGGTTTGAAAATGGTCACCGAGGGAAGGTTATTTTAGCAATAAGCCGGGTGCATTATAATGGCCGTTTCGTTGTGGAGTTGAACTGCGTAGAGAGATGCTGGCCGTTTCAGTAACAAAAGGTCAGGCTGTTTTATGGAATTATTTGACACAGGGAAGTTTAGAATTGACAGAAGTAAGAATTCGCTTCAAATAATAAGAAGAGCGTCATAATCGTGAAAATATTGCTGCAAAAAATAATTCTACATCAATTAAGATAAGTGAATATATATCAACTTACTTTCCTTCCCCACCTTTTCTTTTATCGAAGACCAGCAGTCAGTTTTAGCAGCATTAAAACAACGCAGTAAAGTAGACCCCCTGATTATTGGATAAACAGACGATATATTATCATATTGTGCCATTATGTAAAATAACAAGTTTGAGTGCTGGCAGACCTTTGGCCAGGAACACACTACGATTTCGGAACCCGTCTTTTTCTTTGTTAACCCGTTGTTTACCCGTTTTTGCATAGAAAACACGAACAAAAAAATCGACCGACTTTAAAGTTCGGCCTATTACGAGAACACGCGAGAATATGAGCGCGTGATCTGATAAGGGGAGGCGTTGGTGTTTTTATTAGGCTGATTTAACAACAGAACGGGAACGTCTGTTGACGACTGCGCGCGCAAATCAAATAACTGGCTTGACCAATGGCAGAGCGGCAAATTGGGTACCGAAAGTAGAGTCTAGTCCTTTCCGTGCGCTTTCCCGTCGTCAAATGACGTTCCCGTTCTGTTGCTAAATCAGCCTATTTTCGTGTTCGCGCTTTGTCGATTTCGCGGACCTGACCATCTAGGAGCCTGGAACGGGCTAGACCACTTATTGCCCGCGCAGGGATTTCGCCCAGAGGCGAAATCCCGAGGAGGCACCCTAGTAACTCGCGCGTATATTAAGGACAGTACTTACAGCTCAAATATACAGTCAGTATACTAGAAAAAATCTCGATTTGCTCGAACTGGGGCCGCGAGGAATCGGTAGGTAATGATGACGTTTCTATTGTTTGTGCCCGCAAGTACGAAATGGTTAGGATGACGTAAAAACAGAAAATCCCGAAGGGACCGCTCAGGTAGATTTTGTGAGATTTATTGTGCAGTCATACTTCGATACTCTTTTGCGTTACGCAGTGAAATTCTGTGGAGCAGTTGTTTTGAAAATTATGGACCAAAAGACACTCGTTAAGCGCAGGGGAGGTTATAAGGTGCTTTTAACTGTGTATATGGAGAGGAACTAGGAATTGTTTTGAATGAATAATGCAACAGTTATCACTCTTTGCAGTTTTCACTTAAAATATGCTTCTTCTGACAGGTTTCTTTCAGACACTTTAGAACAGACTTTCTTTCTCGTACCTTTAAAGCTGACTGAAGTCTATTGTATTTTTCTGCACCCTAGTTCTAAATTATTTCAATCAATGAGGGCCTCCTTGTACAAGCCTTTGGCTGTTTGCGGTCTCCTCATCACTCATTGTTTCACTGTTTTTCTCACTTTCTTTATTACCTATTTTATGAAAGTGTTCTTGTTCAACTTAAACTGTGCATTTATTGTTATTCAAGATTAATTAATTATGGTACCATGAATTTTATCTCAATTTGAATGTAATGCTGTAATCTTACGTTAGAAGTGGTGGTGTAAATAAATAAATAAAATAAATAAATAAATAAAAGATGACTAGTGAAGCCTAAAATCTGATATGGCCAGTAATTTACCTGAAAGGTCAGGCAAAAAAAAGGAAAAATTAAAGTAAAAGTACCAAGTGTAACTGTAACAAGTTTAAATTGAATACATACCATCTGTGATGGCTGCTTTTGATCGGACAGTACCTTGAAAACAGGAATGGGGAACACAACAGATTATTAAACTTTCAAGATACGTTTGACATTCATGGTATTGCTCTTCTTCCATAAAGAAAGTCCCAGTTGTCCCAGTTATATATGTCGGAATTTTTTATTACACCTATCTTGCTCCAAAAAAACCAGATAAACTTCAGTAATGTGATCAACTGAGGTTGGCCAGTGTATAATCTATTCTGGTAAGATATATGGTCAAAAAATGATATCTTTAAGCAATGCAATATCAGTAGCACAGTGTCACAGGTAATTTACATCTTTGTGGCCCACGATCAGACCTGTGAGGTGCCTTCTCGTTATATTGGGGAAAACGTTGCTCTACTACGTGACGTTGCCACCCGTGCGAATGAGCTCAATCTTTTTGTGGCCACTTTGTCTTTGGACCAAGAGAAGGCCATCGACCGTGTCGATTGCTCTTTGCCTTTTGCGTACCCTTTTGTCTATGGGCTTCAGCCCCTCTCTTATTAGCTGGGTTAAACGTCTGTATGCGGATATACGTAGTTCTATTCTTGTTGACGGTTATGTATCATCGTCTTTGAAACCTCCTCGGGGTGCGGGGTGTGCGGTAAGGTTGTCCTCTGTCGCCTTTGCTGTATGTGCTCACCATGGAGGTGTTGGCCATTAATAGGGACTTTAAGATGCAACTAAGCGAACGGCAACCAGAACGTCAAAAAACAATAGGTGTTATAAGCAAAACAACAACTTTTCACGTGCATTACGCTTGTTTGTACATTCTTTGCCCTTGTTTGCAAGACTGCCACTTGAAAATGCCTAATTTCGCGTTTTATCGACTACGTAAACAAGCAAAGGCGAAATTTTTTTTCTCTCTCTGAACTTGGATATGGTCCCAAGGAATTCAACTCCAGCGGGGTTAAAGGTTAAGTCAAACATAGTATCGGCTTTGTTCACCTTTGACGTTCGGTAAATCCGGTTTTTCGTCCTGTGTATTCGAGAAATGGTGTTTGGGATTGTATTTGGGAGGCCAATGGCTTAGCAAAATTGGGTAAATTGGGGGAATGGCTTTGCAATC